CGTCGTCTTCGTCGTCGTGCGTCTTCGTCGTCCGTCTTCGTCTCGTCGATCGTCGTCTTCGTCGTCGGCGTCTTCGTCGTCGTCGTCTCGTCGTCGCGGTCTTCGTCTTTTTCTTTTTCTTTTTCTTTTTCTTTTTTCTTTTTCTTTACTTCTTCTTCTGTCTTCTTCTTCTTCTTCTTCTTCTTCTTCTTCTTCTTCTTCTTCTTCTTCTTCTTCTTCTTCTTCTTCTTCTTCTGCTACTACCGCTGCTGCTATTTGTTGTGCTTCTCCTACTACTGCTACTACTACTTTTAATACAGCTACTGCTGCAACTGTTACTTTCCCCCCCCCCCCCCCCCCCCCCCCCCCCCCCCCAAAGTAATAAGCACTACGCGTCTGGCGAAATCATGGAAAAGAAAAACACATAACATATTGTACTTTTTATTTTGCATCACCAAATAAGCTTAAATATCGTGTTTTTATGTCTCTATAGATTCTCCAAACAAATCGGCAAAAGAACCAGGATGTCATCCTACGTCATAACCGGTAAACAAGAAATGGATGTGTCTGACCTGCACGACCCTGTGGGGGAATTCGTGTCTCCCAGGACCCCATGGCACGTCAGCGTGAGAACCATCGGGTCGACTCTGTAATGCTGGCGCAATTAGAGGGGACACTTATGACGTCACTGGTCTTACAGGCTGCTACGGCAGTGGGACACGAATGGTAATCGTGTGTGTGTGTGTGTGTATGCGTGTGTGTGTATGCGCGTGTGAGTGAGTGCGTGTGTGTGTAGGTGAGTGTGTGTGGGGGGTGTTTGAGTGTGTGTGTGTCGTGTGTGTGCGTGCGTGTGTGTGTATGTGTGTGAATGTGTGTCTGTGTGTGTGTGTGTGTGTGTGTGGGTGTTTGAGTGTCTGTATGTGTCGTGTGTGTGGAAGGGTGATGTGTTTGAGTGTGTGTGTATGTGAGTGTGTGAGTGTTTGTGTGTGTGTGGGTGTTTAAGTGTGTGTGTCGTGTGTGGGTGTTTAAGTGTGTGTGTCGTGTGCGTGCGTGCGTGTGTGTCGTGTGTGTGCGCGTGTGTGTGTCGTGTGTGTGTCGTGTGTGTGAGTGTGTTGGTCTTGGGCCAGGGCTTAAGTTTTGTGTGTACATCCGTTTTACTGGCTTATTTGTGTGCAGTTAGTTGTTCCTTGCCACTCTGGCAGATGTACTAGATTTTCAAGGAACTGTGTTCATAATTTCTCCTGTTAAGTTTTTTGTTCACACATTTGAAATCTTTCATAAATATGATTATAGCTGTTTGTCATTCAACATATTATTATTATTGTGTTTGGGCGATTTAATGTTACCGAAGTTTAACTGTGTGTGAGTGGGTATGTGTATGTGCGCGCGCATGTGTATATGCATGTATATGTATATATATATATATATATATATATATATATATATAATATATATATATATATATATATATATATATATATATATGTGTGTGTGTGTGTGTGTATATATGTGTGTGTGTGTGTGTATATATATATATATGTGTGTGCTTGTGTACATATGTATAATAAGGTTTGCAGTGGGACCCTTTAAGTAACTGGCGATCTGATCACCCACTGGCGACGACTTTGTCGCCGTTCAGACAGTATTTGGGTCTACATATTTTGATCGCTTTAACTCTGCAGGAGCAATGCTAATCAATGTTATTTTAGGCAAACAACCTACTCACAACTGTAACCCAAACCTCCCCCATCGGGGATGCTACTTGAACGTGACGATCTTCTTGTTGTTGAGCAAAGCAACGGAACGACCCGTGAAGAACTACATGGGAAGATATGTAAAGATATGATGGATATTAATTTTTATACTGAGAGCATATTTTTACATATATCTGTCTGCCCACTCACCCGTGCGTCAGTCTCGTGGATGTCTTTATGCCTGGCTACCTGTCTGTCTGTCTGACTGTCTGTCTGCTTGTGCCTGTCACCCCGTCTCTTGCATAAGGACTGATCTTGCCTCCTTAACAATTGTTACTCCAACAAAAACAATCATCTTCAAATACATCACCAGGCTCTTGGAGTAACACAATATTCGAACGGTCATTTCTGTTATCTACAACAGATTCATACTAATCAATACTTTCAAACAATACAACCTCCTCCTAGTCTATAGCACCTGCATCATTGATGCATGATTGTTAAAAATGTAAAATAGATTCCTTCTTCTTCTTCTCCTTCTTCTTCTTTTTCACCACTATCATTACTACTGCTGCTGCTGCTATTACTACTACGACTACTAATGCTGCTGCTGCTGCAGCTACTACTACTACTACTACTACTACTACTACTACTACTACTACTACTACTACTACTACTACTACTACTACTACTACTACTACTGCTGCTGCTGCTGCTGCTGCTGTTGCTATTACAACAACAACAACAACAACAACAACTACTACTACTACTACTACTACTACTACTACTACTACTACTACTACTACTACTACTACTACTACTACTACTACTACTACTACTACTACAACTACTACTGCTGCTACTACTAATAATGCTGCTACTGTTGCTGCTACCACTACTACCTACTACTACTACTACTACTACTACTACAACTACTACTGCTACTACTACTACTACTACTACTACTACTACTACTACTGCTCCCTCTTCTACTACTACTGCTACTACTATTTCCTTCTTCTTCTGGTCGGGAGCCGCAGTTGTGTAGGCTAGACGATCGTCTGCCGATCGGAAGGCATGACTTTATTTTAAAAAAATGAGCTTCTTTTCCTAGGTTCATTCAGCCTAAATGTGGATCAGTCCTGGTAAGTAAAAGCAAACTTCCTGATGCTGACCACATCCTCCCTGAAATGCTGATTGGTCTTTAAAATATAGGTCTAGCCCTATGTGCCCAATATGCCTCAAAGTGTATAAAAAGGTCCTTTACATCAATGGGTTGACTATTTTATTTTCCCACACTGAATATCTTCGCAGGTGCTACACATGCCCATATCTCAACAGTTTCACAATCTACACTATCATAAAAGATACAATGCTGTCCTCACGCCAACCCACATCAAGTGTTACCCTTGAATGACCCATGACTTCTATCCACGCTGACCCACACCCAGTGTTACCCCTGAATGACCCATGTCCTTCTATCCACGCCGACGCACATCGAGTGTTACCCATAAATGACCCATGTCCTTCTATCCACGCCGACCCACATCAAGTGTTACCCCTGAATTACCAATGTCCTTCTATCCACGCCAACTCCCATCAAGTGTTACCCCTGAATGACCCATGTCCTTCTTTCCACACCGACCCACATTAAGTGTTACCTCTGAATGACCCATGTCCTTCTATCCACGCCGACCCACATCAAGTGTTACCCCTGAAGGACCCATGTCCTTCTATCCACGCCGACCCACATCAAGTGTTACCCCTGAATGACCCATGTCCTTCTATCCACGCCGACGCACATCAAGTGTTACCCATAAATGACCCATGTCCTTCTATCCACGCCGACCCACATCAAGTGTTACCCCTGAATTACCAATGTCCTTCTATCCACGCCAACTCCCATCAAGTGTTACCCCTGAATGACCCATGTCCTTCTATCCACACCGACCCACATTAAGTGTTACCTCTGAATGACCCATGTCCTTCTATCCACGCCGACCCACATCAAGTGTTACCCCTGAAGGACCCATGTCCTTCTATCCACGCCGACCCACATCAAGTGTTACCCCTGAATGACCTATGTCCTTCTATCCACGCCGACCAACATCAAGTGTTAACCCTGAAGGACCCATGTCTTTTTATCCACGCCGACCTACATCAAGTGTTACCCCTGAAGGACCCATGTCTTTTTATCCACGCCGACCTACATCAAGTGTTACCCCTGAATGACCCATGTCCTTCTATCCACGCTGACCCACATCAAGTATTACACTGAATGACCCATGTCTTTCTATCTACGCCGAACCACATCAAGTGTTACCTCTGAATGACCTTTGTTCTTCTATCCACGCTGACCCACATTAAGTGTTACCCCTAAATGACCCATGTCCTTCTATCCACAGATAGAAGTGCTGCCATCAGAATTTGACATCTCCTGTCTTAGATCTGATGATTACAGCTAACCAGTTCGTCTTCCATCGACGAGTTTTTCAAATCTAACAAATGTCGAGACAGCCAACGTGATACTACAGTAAGTTCCGGTCAGTTACATCCACTAACTGATCCTCTCTGAAACAGATTTGCTGGCAACAACCTACACGAAAATAAATATTCTCGACTCAATGAAGTCGATGTAATAAGTGTATTCTCGTATTTCGAAAAAGTGAGCAGCAGCTTTCTCTTCATTCAGGATAATAGCTTCCGAGACGACGGGCGCTGTATTTCGCCGTAAAGCGAGTAAGAAACCCTGTCAAGAATTGGTTCTGGGTTTAAGTGAGTCATTTGAGGAAGGAGGTCTCAGTTAGTGAAAAAAAAAAAAAGGCTGCGTTTTCGGAAATTTACCTTTTTTACTTGCGGGAAATCAACATAACTAGTCACAATTGTTTTCCGCGAGGATCCAGAATTTTTCCCCGAAACAGGAAACGGAAGTGGCGCCATGGCTTCGGTAGCCGCTTGGTTACCGTTTGCACGGGCCTCAGCCATTGGCTGGGTGCCTATCGCCCAGAATCCCCTTCCTAACCCAACTGTCCACCCAGAAAGTCAACGTGGGGACGAGAAACTTCGAATTAACGTCAGCGGCCGGAAGTTCGAAACGTGGCGTACCACGTTGGAGAAGTTTCCAGATACCCTTCTGGGATCCAACGAACGAGATTTCTTCTATGATGAGGACACAGATGAATACTTCTTCGACCGAGATCCTGATATTTTCAGGCATGTTCTCAACTACTACCGCACCAGCAGGCTTCATTATCCCAAACACGAATGTATCAGCGCCTACGACGAAGAGTTGGCATTTTTCGGGATACTTCCGGATATTATCGGCGATTGCTGTTACGAAGATTACCGCGATAGGAAGAGAGAGAACAGCGAAAGGCTTATTGATGAAGAAAAGAGCGAGAATGGCGATTTTGATCCGGCAGTTTCTATTCGAGAGCAAATGTGGCGAGCCTTCGAGAACCCTCACATAGGAACTGTGGCGTTGGTATTTTACTATGTCACGGGCTTCTTTATTGCAATCTCAGTAATAGCCAATGTTGTGGAAACAGTTCCCTGTGGGAAGGTCCCCGGAGCTAGGGAAGAACCTTCTTGTGGGGAGAGATACATGATGGCATTTTTCTGTTTGGATACGGCCTGTGTGATGATCTTCACGGCCGAGTATCTCCTCAGGTTGTACGCGGCCCCAGACCGTTGGAAGTTCATGCGAAGCGTCATGAGCGTTATCGACGTGGTCGCCATAATACCGTACTACATTGGACTCGTTATCTCCAACAACGATGATGTCAGCGGAGCCTTCGTCACTCTCCGTGTTTTCCGCGTGTTTCGTATCTTCAAGTTTTCCCGCCATTCCCAAGGTCTGAGGATTTTGGGATACACCCTGAAATCGTGCGCCAGCGAATTGGGCTTCCTACTGTTTTCCTTGACAATGGCTATCATCATTTTCGCAACCATCATGTTTTACGCGGAGAAAAATGTGGAGGGTACCACGTTTACTAGCATACCTGCGGCTTTTTGGTACACCATTGTCACCATGACGACGCTGGGGTGAGTAGCCATCTTGTGTAACGTGACCTAATTACCACGCAAATCTGCCACTACCTGTCTCTGTCGTCACAGCAGCTCTCTCGTGCTTTTTTCTGTTCTTTTCCTAATATTCTTTTACGTCAATCTCTTCTCTTCTTGTCTTTATATCTAGAGGGGGCAACGAATGGAAACCTTCTAGTAAAAATATAAATTACAATAACCGTGCATATTTTGTAGCCTGTCAACGTTGTTAACAATGTCAAGAGTGTTAACTACATGATATCACCATACACACGAACATAATGTAAGTTTAATGATGGCTGCCCAACTTTTCACGGTCCAAAGAGAACCAGCGTTCTGTTATCAGTTAAAAAAAAACGTTTTAATCAGCGAAGGGGTTAAACCTATTCAAATTCACAACGTAACGTGCTAAACACCCCTGACATCCTTAACAATTGTTACTGTGATTTCTATCAAACGTTTGGGGTTTTTATTTGAAACCTTGCCTGTTTCGTACATGCAACCAAGGAGCGAATGATCTAGTGGCCACACGTTCTTGATCCCGCATGAAGAGTTTCGGTTCGAATCTGCACTGCTCAGATGTAAAAAAAAAAAAAAAAAGGGGGGGGGGTGATCTTTGCTTATAGGTCGACCCAGTCTAAATTGGCTGCCAGAAAAAATCGAAGGGAAGTAAAGGCAGTTTCCACGCCTTGAGTCGTATTGAGCTAATAGGGCTAGACCTATATTTTATAGACCATTCAATAATAGGTGGGGAACTTCGAGGCCTGCGCCTGGTAACCATTTCAAATCGCGTCTACCGGCCTGCGCCTGGTAACCATTTCAAGCCGCGTCTACCGACCTGCGCCTGGTAACCATTTCAAGCCGCGTCTACCTGCCTGCGCCTGGTAACCATTTCAAATCGCGTCTACCGGCCTGCGCCTGGTAACCATTTCAAGCCGCGTCTACCGGCCTGCGCCTGGTAACCATTTCAAACCGCGTCTACCGGCCTGCGCCTGGTAACCATTTCAAACCGCGTCTACCGGCCTGCGCCTGGTAACCGTTTCAAACCGCGTCTACCGGCCTGCGCATGGTAACCATTTCAAGCCGCGTCTACCGGCCTGCGCCTGGTAACCATTTCAAGCCGCGTCTACCGGCCTGCGCCTGGTAACCATTTCAAGCCGCGTCTACCGGCCTGCGCCTGGTAACCATTTCAAGCCGCGTCTACCGGCCTGCGCCTGGTAACCATTTCAAGCCGCGTCTACCGGCCTGCGCCTGGTAACCATTTTAAGCCGCGTCTACCGGGGAGCTAGGGTCTTTTTTTAAAATGTATGGCTTTGTCAGGACCTAAGCCTATGACCTTCTAATCCGCAGGTGAGCTTCTAGCCGCTACATCACGGCGGCTTCTGCGAGTGCCAGTTGCTGTATAAAAATATAAGTTGCACCATGTGGCTTGAATATGGTCCTGCACTTTCACTCTATTAATTACTTACAGCCTGTCACGTTCAGTCTGCATTCTGCAAATGAAAAAAAAAAAACATCTGTCTCTATCTGTTGGTATTGCCCATTCTGCTCATCGGTCATCCCCATGCGTGCTCAGTTCTCTTATGCAACAGCCATCTCAGAGACCCTCTACCTAGGGCTTTTAAGCTGGCTGCCCAAGGGCCAAATTCGGCCCTCAGAGGTTAACAAACGGACCACTTGCCAGTAGTATTGCAATAATAATTTTTCTATGCTGGCGATCAGATCTCTGGCCCACGACGGTTCCCATTTTCAACATTTTGGCTCCTGGGTATCCTTAATCGACTTACCCTGCCCGACTCACACAAGGTGGTCTCTGCAGGTTCATCCATCTATGCGGTTCTTGGTCTATCTGCCCCAATATAACCACAAATACCCATGTTTATTCTTCCATCTTCCAGACACTCACACTACAGCATATCGTTCCCCCATCACGTGTGATGCACGACGTGGGTGTCCGTGTGCACGTGTGTATGGCTTTCTCTTTAAGTGGGTTATTTATGCCTGCATGCATATATTGATCCTCAATTCTCATCTTGTGTGTGGTTTTGCGGAATCGTGCCAGTAAGTATTGATGATCAGGTCTCCAGAAATGTTGTCTAGCAGAGACGTGAGTGAACATATCAATCAACATATCATTGTATACATCGTCTGTATTTTCAGCGTAATCTGTATTATTTTTACTGTATTTGGGTCGCGCATGCGAAAACAAAAAAGGTTATTTTTAGTTCTTATCAAACGAAATAAAGTTAAAAAAAAAAAAAAGTGAAGGGATCTTTTTTCACCGTTAGATCTATATTTAACGTGACAGCATACACCGGCCGCCTTTACTTCCCTGGACTGTACCTGTGCTAATTTCAGGCTGGGTCTACCTAGAAGCCAAGGTCATTTGTTTGGAAAAACAATTGGGCTCCTTTCTGATTGAAACCCACGACCTTAGGATCTCCAGACGAGCATCTAGCCGCTACACTACGGCCGCTCCATGTTTAACTGAGGCGAATATATCTGTTAGAAAGACCAGTTGTTTTATGAAGGTTAGTTGTGTATCCTTTTACAGGACGTTGCAGAACCAACCCCAACAGCCCCTGGCTGTTGTGTAATTTTTCTAGACACATTTACGATCGGCTTTCTTGATACCACTGTCGAAACCAACGCAAGGCGCATGGCCCGCAGCTGGGATCGAACCCAGCATCCAGGCACTAAAAGTGTTCGCATCGACTTAGCCACAGAGCCGACGTTGTTTTATAATCTATGCAATTTAAATCTCAACCAATAGAGATGAAGGCTTATTACAGGTTTTAGAAAACAGTCTTACGACGAATCTTTAAACCTATCAAAGATGTAAACAGCGGAGACTGAGGAGCAACAACGAAATTCATGATCTGTTTAAATCACCGCTGATTATTGGCATCATGAGAGCTAATTGGCTGAAATGGTTCAGGTATATTGAAAGAATGTCAAATGACAGAGAAGTGAAAACTGTATACACAATGAAAATGAATGGTCGTAGACCACGTGGCAGACCAAGAAGACCTTGGAGAGTTAATGCCCAGACAAACATGCAAACACTTGGTGTCACCAACTAGAAAGAGAAGGCCAACCAGGGAGATGAATGGAGGCGGGTGATATCTGTAGTAATATATATCCTTACGTCCTTCTTAGGACGTTATTTTTTGTTATTTGAAGCCCCACTCTGGCTTTTGCCAGGGGCCGTAATATAGGCAGGTCATCATTATGGCCAAATGTCTGAACGCGGTTTCTGGGACCTCTCCACGGTGATCCTCATCCGCATGGTGGCACTTTGTGTCATTGGGTGTTTATCGCTTGTGTGATGTCCTGGTGTGGTAAAAAGCCAATCCAATCTGTAGCAATGAACCTTAAGTGCTGGGAAAGCTGAAGGCTGAAGAATAATATGTATATGTGTGTGTATGTGGTACTTTTTTTTCCACCTCCCATCCATGCCGCGGCTAGTCCTACGGCCTGTCCTATGTTGTGGGGGTGTCATGTATTCCTTGTTTTGAAAGGTTTAAACTGTGCCTCTATTCTTACGTTGTCACCGGTCTCTTTGCGAGATAACGTCCACGATGTGCTACTTGCCCGACGCTTCATGACTATTGAAACTAGGATGATTTTTTTTTCAATAGCAGCAGTTGTAGTAGTAGAAGTTCAGCTTGCAAGTGGAGTGGCCTTAAAGATCCCTCCGGTCGGCGGAACTAAAGAGTTCGTGCTTTCTGCAACGCTCTTGCTTGACAGTCAGTCGACATGAGGATATAGAACTGTGCGCAGAGGATAATCGTGCCACATTTGATCATCATTTTTAGAACATAAAGTAAAAACAAAAAACATTGTTGCTGTCCCACAAGATGTTAGTGTGTACCGTCCTATCAAGTGTCTAGGTATGTATTGATTTCTGCCTTCGTAAAGGCAGGTTATATTGTTTAAATGGTCGGCGTTATCGTGCTGATTTGCTGTATCTATCTATCTATCTATCTATCTATCTATCTATCTATCTATCTATCTATCTATCTATCTATCTATCTATCTATCTATCTATCTATCTATCTATCTATCTATCTATCTATCTATCTATCTATCTATCTATCTATCTATCTATCTATCTATCTATCTATCTATCTATCTATCTATCTATCTATCTATCTATCTATCTATCTATCTATCTATCTATCTATCTATCTATCTATCTATCTATCTATCTATCTATCTATCTATCTATCTATCTATCTATCTATCTATCTATCTATCTATCTATCTATCTATCTATCTATCTATCTATCTATCTATCTATCTATCTATCTATCTATCTATCTATCTATCTATCTATCTCTATCAATCTATCTATCTATCTATCTATCTATCTATCTATCTATCAATCTATCTATCTATCTATCTATCTATCTATCTATCTATCTATCTATCTATCTATCTATCTATCTATCTATCTATCTATCTATCTATCTATCTATCTATCTATCTATCTATCTATCTATCTATCTATCTATCTATCTATCTATCTATCTATCTATCTATCTATCTATCTATCTATCTATCTATCTATCTATCTATCTATCTATCTATCTATCTATCTATCTATCTATCTATCTATCTATCTATCTATCTATCTATCTATCTATCTATCTATCTATCTATCTATCTATCTATCTATCTATCTATCTATCTATCTATCTATCTATCTATCTATCTATCTATCTATCTATCTATCTATCTATCTATCTATCTATCTATCTGTCTGTCTGTCTGTCTGTCTGTCTGTCTGTCTGTCTGTCTGTCTGTCTGTCTGTCTGTCTGTCTGTCTGTCTGTCTGTCTGTCTGTCTGTCTGTCTGTCTGTCTGTCTGTCTGTCTGTCTGTCTGTCTGTCTGTCTGTCTGTCTGTCTGTCTGTCTGTCTGTCTGTCTGTCTGTCTGTCTGTCTGTCTGTCTGTCTGTCTGTCTGTCTGTCTGTCTGTCTGTCTGTCTGTCTGTCTG